ATAGTAACAACTCCTGAACCTATCATTGTCCAAGGTGAAGAAGAATATGAAATTCACAAAATTTTGGATTCTCGTGTCCACCGTGGCTCCTTACAATACCTTATCAGATGGAAAGGTTATGGAGTTGATGAAGACACTTGGGAAGATTCATCTAATGTACATGCTAGGAGGTTAGTTACTGCCTTTCACAAACGCTATCCCTCCAAACCGAAATAGTGCACCCAGAGGATGCCCCATGGGAAGGGGGTACTGTCAGGTATAGCATGGCATGTAATTTATCGCCGGAACCCACTTCCGGGTTCACGGCGCTCAGCCCCGCCCCTTTCTCTGACGCGGTCCCTCCACGATACTTAGGAGGACCGCGCCAGATTCAAAGGGCTGAATTATTCGCACAGGTGCTGCATGAAGATCAGCTGCTCTACTTCTGATCCTACCTGCTCCACTTCTATACCTCGGCTAGTAAACGGATTTCTACCTTCTCCACTTCTCGACCTCGGCTTGTAAACGGATTTCTACCTTCTCCACTCCTAGACCTCGGCTTGTAACTCTGAATTCTACCTTCTCCACTCCCAGACCTCGGCTTGTTAAAACGGACTTCCCCACTCTCCACTCCTAGTTCTCAGCTTGTTGAAACGGACTTCTAATTTCTCCTTCATTGGGTGAATTAACCCTTCCAGTGCCAGAACTGCCTTTAAGTTAAGTAATACTTTTACCAAACAAGTCAATTACTATTAATTATATTACACAGTATCTAAAACTCACTAAAGTGTCTTTGTCTAATTATTCCTCTTACTCATAAGGGATTGCTACAAAGCCTAATTTTACCTACATGGATATTTAAAGGTACAGTGACCATAGTTTCATACCAATATAAAAGGAGGTGAACCTTATTGTTGTTGCAACCAAGAAATGCTGCAGTTGAGTTCCAATTAAAGAAATATTACAAAATAAGTATTACAGACACAAGTCTCTTTTCAGCTATGTAACTATGTAACTCCCATTCTGACAAAGTAAAGCATCTTTCTATTTTTAAGGTCTCATTTAAAACTCACGGTATATATCTCACCATCAGCATATAATACATGTTGCCTTTTGTAACTAAATCCATTCACTGTATTCTGTAAACTAGATTGGTCTTCATAACTTTACATGTTTCCTCAATACCAAATTTGGATTAGCTTTATTTACTCGTATGTTTTATTTCCACTGCAGAATATGTTAATGCAACATTATAGTGTTAGGAATACAAAGCTTTACTCATAACACTATAGTGTCCCTCTGCCCTCGCAGCCCCCCTTGCGGCAATGAAAGGGTTAAATAACCCTTCAACAACTTACTTTATTCCAGCACTGAGGTCCCTCAGCGCCAGCTCTGATTGGCCCAAAATGTAAAATTGTCAAACTCTTACCTAGATTTACATATGTGTCTTTTTTCATCTTTCACCGACTCCCAGATCCGTCCATGGTCAGTCTCCAGGCTGGGAATACTTTTTTTTCCCAAATGAGATTTGTAATTTAATTTTTTTTTTTTTTTTTTAGTGCAGAAGGCTATTGGGTACGATGTCTCTGCAATTCAGATTTAAGCAGGTTTTACTGAGTATACTTCAGCCAATATGCTCCATGTTTGAATTAATTAGCCCCAAACCCTAAAAGCTTAAAATTCTTACTCAGTAAGTAGCTGTCAGACGCCAAAGGTTTTTTCAAGGGACAGCTTCACGTATGTGTCTTCTTCGATATTCAACAGGCATCCTGAATCCATCCATGGTCAGTCTCCAGGCTGTGTATGTTCATGTGGACAAATCAATTGGTCGATTACTCTGCAATTCAAATATAAACACGTTTTAGTGAGTACTCTTTAGTCAATATGGTCCATGTGTGATTGAATTAATTAGCCCCAGACCATAAAAGCTTGAAATTCTTACTCAGTAAGTAGCTGTCAGACCCCAAATTTTAGTCAGCAGATGGTTCCACATACATGTTTTCTTCCATCTTAAATTGGCTCCTGGATCCATCCATGGTCAGTCACCAGGTTGTTTATCTTGTTTATCTTCATGTGGAGAAATCTATTGGGTACAATGTCACTGTAATTCAAATATATTAACCATTCACTGAGCAATATTCTGCCAAAATGGTAGAAAAGAATTAACTAGCCCCAAACCCTAAAAACTTAAAATTCTTACTAAATAAGTAGCTTTTAGACCCCAAAGTTTACTCAGGTTATGGCTCCACATGCACATCTTCTTTCATTTTCAACCGGCTCCTGGTTCCCTCCACTGCCAATCTCCAGGCTGTGCATTCTTGCGACCACCATGTAGACCCACTGGCAGAAGTTGGTTTTATTGGACTAAAAAAATCTGAAAGTGAAAGTGTCTTAAAGTGTGTTGTTAACAGCCTGTTATACAAAACAAAAGTTCTAATGCAGCTTTTGATGCAAAATAAAGCTTTTCAGACAATAATTTATAGATACTGTATATGCAATATACTATGTGCAAAGTCTAAGGAAGGGTTTTATACCATTACCACACCTTCCTTGGTGATGAAGTAAGCATGGTATACTGACAATTAAAAAAAACTGTATTCAGTTCTACAAAAAGGGAATTTAGTTAAGATTGTTAAGACCTGTTATAAAAGCCCAGTTCATTAAAGTATATTACAATAATTATATTGTTCTACTAAAATCAACATCAATAAAGCAAAGCAAGAACAGTTACCCAAATCCCAATGTTCACTTTTAAACAGTAGAGCTTTTTAGAAGAACTGAATGTCCTTAAAGTGTTAGCTCACCTGCCAACATTGTGGCAAATTCTGAGTCCTAGTCTAACGCTTAATTTGGCTGCTTTCACCTCAGAGGCAAAGTCTCGAATGAGACACAAATATGTAATTTATAAATCCATATAAAGTTAAATAAAGAATACATGGTTAGGTGGATGTTTTGTATAAAGGCTGTGTAATATTAGAGCAGTTAAATGGTATTTACGAACCATGCTGGGAGAATAAGACCAAGGCTAATTAATATTTGTGCTTTTACTAGAAATTCTATAGATTTAATGAATTTGGGCCTTTCCATGTGATGCCCATTGCTAGATCCCATCGACCCGTGCATGTCGTACAATGATTAACACTGGGGATGCACACTTACCCACTGCTGGACATAGTTTGAACTTTTTATCTGTATACTGTAGGCACAGAAATAATGGCTGCAAACGTCTCTAAGAATGTAATTTTATCAGCACATAATATATAGATACCTTCCCATTATTTACAAATGGCACTACATTATACATTGATGTAATGCCAAAGGTGAGGGAGCAAAATACATTGCATTTCTCCATTGCAGCCAAGAACCCTCGGATCAGCTCTGCTCACTGTCTGTCGAGATATTACGGTTTCTGTATAATAAAATCCTAAAATGTGACGTAATACTTTGTTGCCGTCAGCCAATTAAATCATAGATCAGCCAGGGGGCGGAGAGTTTAGTATCAGAGATTTAGAACAGATTTCCTCCCAGCCCACATTACTACACAGTGTACAGGGCTGGTGTATAAACCCAGATCTTAGATTAGAATACAGGGTATAGAAATGTATTTAGTCTAGGAATATGGAGTAAATTATAGCTCTCTGTGTGTAGGATATACTTACTTCTAGAATTGATGGTCTCAGATATCTAGAGGATGAAACTAATAATTAAAAGAAAAGAAAAGCACGACAGTCTTCATGGCTGCACTGGCTGCCACAAACTTTCTGAATGAATGAAGTGAAAAGGACAGACTATGAGTGATGTCAGCTGTAGCATCATGACATCATCACTGCTGCACAAAGCAAATAATTAATGAAGTCACAATGGAAGAAGAGAGGCATAAAGATGCAGCTAACACAGAGTAAAGGGGTTTAACCCTTTCATGGCCATGGCCTTTCCAAGATTCTATTTTAGTGACAGAGCTTTCTAGAACTTCTCTATATGTTAGTTCCACTGTCGTTTAATGCTTTCTATTTACATGTACCCATACAGTTTATATACCATTTTTCTTTTCAATTTGACAATTTTTATTCTTTTGGGGTACAGAAAAGAAAAATGGGATAAGGGAAAAATGCAGATAAGCCAGTTTTACAACACCTCAGTACATCACAGTGTTATGGTGATATAGCATAGCTTTATTTATCTTCACCTGTGCAGTTGTCTTACTGTAACGGTAGGTGATAAACCTTAGTGTGATGTTGTAGTATCGGGGTGGGGATGCACAGGTGCCAAGAGTAAGGGGCACATGGGGGGGGCGGTTGGTGTAGGGATTGGATCCGCTTGCAAATGTGCTCTTCCTCCTCAGCGCTCCACTCTCTCCTTTGTTATGTTAACGGCCCTCTAGACCTTTGACCCGAAGGTCTTATATTGCCCTGCTTTATTGGGGAGTTATTGTCCCCTCTATACCTCCATGTGGTTCACTGTCGCCTGCGCCTCTGAGGCTTGCCATTCCTTGGTTTGCTCCCTTTTGGGTGGATCCTAACCCTACCTTGGTGGCTATCTGCCATGTGGGGTAAGGGTGGGGGGTGGGGGGCAATAACTATATACCATTTTAAAAAGACAGACAGGGATTTCTTCTAATGCCCACTATGTATATGTAATAAGTAGGAATAAAACATTTAAACAATTATAAATAATGTATGTTTTTTTCACATTTTTGATTATACATCCTTTCTATGCAACTAAAGAAAAATAACTCAAAATTGTTTCACCTAGTCCTGATTGTTAAAAATCCTGATATCTAGGATTTTAGTAAATTTTTGGAAGGTCTAGGAGTGAATTCGTGTAAGCAGACCAAATATTGCAAAAGTTTAGCGTTAGATCCCAGCATTTATTCAATAAATTTTGAATTCAAAGTGAATTTAAAATGTGCAAATTGGGTTAAAAACCCCTTGTGAACATATGTAACCTGCTACTGACATGCTGTCAGCCATTTTGCTGTTTATTCATCATCTTAAAATATAATCAAAGAAGAATATTTACTCTAAGAAATAAGAAGAAACTATGTTTTATTGCTACAATTTATTAATGGATGTCTGGACTGTTTTTTGGATTGCAAAAGGAAAGGTTATTTTGAAAGCGTGTCTTGTCAGATGTTGCCAGGGGGGAAAGGTGAAATGTGTGCTTAAGTTGTGAAAGAGGAAGTCTTATATGTGTTAACTTTTATCATAGACAAGCGATATTTTAGCGAAGTAAGACACATGACTGTGGTCAAGTCATCTGTTAGAAAGATCATGGGATGCTTAAACTTTTGAACCTTAAATTTGTCAGTTATGCTAGAATTTAGCTAATAGGAAATAAGACCATATTTGGAGTTCTGATTCAAGCTAAACGCAAGGCCAGTTCCGGGTCATATGTATAAAATATGAGGAATTGTAACATGATGTTAGATTGCTTCTTGCCAATCTCCATGAGATATCTCTGTGTATTGTAATGGTCAATTAAACGCTTTTTATTGAACCTGGTAATATTTTTGTCTACTTCCACAGTTGGGGGCTCTTTGTCCGGGATCAGAATACCACAGACACCAGCGGAACACCTGCACCTGCCAACCATTTCGTGGGCACTCAAACAGACCGGTCATATGAAAGGTAAGCCATACCATTTATAAAACATGGCATTAGTGTAATTTTTGAGTGTCCATGAAACAAAGAACGGTGCAGGTAAATGCTAGTCTGTGTGACCTGATTTCTTAGCCTTTTATTGACCATTTGTAACGTTACTATTTATGTTTGTTGTAAAATATACTGCAGTATTAGTGTCTATGTCTGAGTGATTCTAGAATCAGTGGTAGCACTGACAGGTAGTCCCCTAGGAAGACTTAAGTGACTAAACTTCGCAGACCCAATAGGGGTTTGGTGGGCCTTCAGAAGTCTAAACGTAGCTCTGTTGGTGAGAGTCTCTTTGATATGATGTATCCCTGTCATGTGATTGTGGCTAAATGTTGAGGTTAGCCACATGAATCTAATCTCCCAAGTCTAAACGTAGCAAAGCGAGATTAGATTATTTTGTTTTAGTGTCTTAATTTCACCCAGTCTAAACGTAGCAAGGTGAAGTTAAGTTGTCTTGTATTAATTGGCTAGCCACATGAATCTAATCTCCCAAATCTAAACGTAGGAAAGTGAGATTAGATTATTTTGTTTTATTGTCTTAATTTCACCCAGTCTAAACGTAGCAAGGTGAAGTTAAGTTGTCTTGTATTAATTGTTTAAACTCATAGGTTAAACGTAGCACTTGAGTAAGATGTATTGTGTTAAAATTGCATAACTGTGTGTATATGGTTTAAAGTTTGATAAACTGTGACATCATTTGAGAAGAGATTTTTGTGTAAACTCCAGTTGTCAGTCAGTATACAGACTGAAAATTGTGACCTTTCGATCTCTCAAAAGGTGATACAGTGAGTGTATACATTTGGTGTTTCAAAGTACAAGTAACAGAAATGAGGTTGAATCATGGCAAGCAGCTTGATCATGGGGATAGTATACCCAGTGATTCCCCAGTTTATTTAATGAAACAGAAATATGGCCCTTCAAATATTATGTATTCAAAGAAATGGGCAAAGTTAACTAAGAATAATATAAATCCATGGCCAGTGGTGGGGTCATTAGACCCTTGGGTGTTGTTAAGTTTAAGAACAATGTTGTTAAATGGAAAAAGTCTTTCAAAACTGGAATGGTCTGCATATATGTTATGGCATGAGGAAATTGAAAAGAAAAAGCAAGAATGTTCCCCCCAGTCAGGTGCAACAGGAGGGGCACGTAAAGGAGAGGGTACTGGTGTTGCCTGTTTGTATCCCTCACTGTACAATTTAAAAAGAAATGTTAAAAATCCTCCGCCTTATAATGATGATGAGGATTTTTTGATTAATCATGAGATTATGAATCCCTCTTTGGGTCACTTCCCCTCAGCAGATGAATGATGCACCACAGCTTGTACCCCAAAATTTAGCTGGTGCCTCAGCCATGTTGCATTGAGGTGGTAGACCTGAGAGGGATATTAGACTGCCTAAAAGATTTGCTGATCATGCTGTGGTTACTATCAGGTTTATCAGGATGTAGAAATGTGTTGCCTGAGAGTGATGGGAGTGAGGCTATGATTTTACCTATTAGAGAAGTGGGACAGATGGATAATGATGGGAGACCACGGAGGATTTGTCAACCGTGGAGCCCACAAGACATAGCATTTTTACAGGTATCATTTCCTGCCCCCTCTAGATCCAAATGGGTTTGTAAAACATTTAAAAATAATGTGTGCCAGCTATTTCCCCACAACATAAGATCTTAATGAGTTAATGGAGACAGTATTAACCCCTACAGAACATACTAAATGGGTGGCAGGATATGACGAGTCACCTTTTTCATGGCCTGCAGGGGTGGGGGGACAAGCAGTTGCACACATATGGGAAAATTGCCCTGATGAGAGGAGTGATGTTGTTCTTAAAAAAATTGTATGCATTCCTCAGCATCAAAGTAAAAACAGTTTTTACCCAGCCTATTGACTATACATAGCATAGTGCAAAAGAAAGGAGAAAACCACTATGAATATGGGGAAGCAATTAAGGTTTTTGGAAGTTTTGAAGATATCACGGTTGAATCAATTAAGCCGTTCATAGTGAATACCTTAGTAAATGCTTTGGATGCATCAGAAATTTGACAAGCTATTCAAATCAAGGAAAATGCAAAGGCTGAGCACATAATGCTACAAGCTGAACAAATTCCTGTTAGATATTATGCACATCAAATGTTTCAATTGTGATGGATATGGTCATATAGCAACAGATTGCAAGGAGGTAAAGGGGACAAGAAAGCAATTAGAAGAAAAAGACAGACTAGATGTAGAGGAAGATTGGGGTCTGAATATGTATTGTTAGTGTACCAGTGACCCAAGGTCCAGAACCTATGGTACATTTGAAAGTAAATGAATTGTATGTGATACTGAGGGAAGAAGAAGTAAGTGATTTTGGTGGGGAGAATGTATATTTAGTGGAAGACCAGCATTGCCATCATTGTTTAATTCTGAATGGTCAAGGCTGGGCCTAGAATCTGTATTGGCACTGGTGTGTTCTTCATGTGTTATTTGTTTACAATACAATGCAGGTCAGAGACCTAAATCATCCTCCCTGTTCATGAGGTCCATTTGTAAATTTACAAATGGATTTCATTGAATTACCAAAGGTAATGCAGTACCGGTATGTGCTAGTAATATTAGATACATTCTCAGGTTTGGTTGAGGCTTATCCTTGTTGCCATGCGGATATTGTCTACAGTGTCTAAGAAATTGTTACAAGAATTTATACCCAGGTATGGATTGCCTCGGCACATTTACTCAGATCAGGGAACACATTTTATAGGAAAAGTAGTGCAACAGATAGCAAAAATTTTGCAAATCCCTTACCATTTACATTGCTCTCATCATCCTCAGTCAGAAGGAGCAGTAGAAAGGGCCAATGGAACATTGAAAAATAAAATTGCAAAAATTGTAGCAGAGACAAAGTTAAAGTGGCCTGATGCACTTCCTCTTGCCTTAATGTCTATGAGATTCTCTCCAGCTCGAAAGCAGGGTTATCCCATCATGAAATTCTAATGGGAAGACCAATGTTCACAGGAGGGCTACCTCTAAAATTTAATTCTCATGAGATAAATGATGATTTGTTGATGTCATATTGCATGTAGCTAACAAAACGATTAGTCTCTCTATATGCAGGTAAAAGCTGTACAGCGAACAAGTGAATACCAACCTTTGCATGCCATCGCTCCTGGAGATTATGTTATGATAAAAGACCATTCACGAAAGCACGCGTTGCAACCAAGGTGGAAAGGACCTTCTCAAGTGTTATTAACCACTAATTCAGCTGTTAAAGTCGCAGGGGTTAAATCTTGGATCCACATTTCCCATTGTAAACTGACAAGCGCTGAAAAAGATTTTTTCACTGGAAGAAGAATAGAGGACTAAGGAAGCCGTTTTCCCTTCTAAAAAGGGGTACTTTATAAGGGGAGTATCTTTCTAATCCAAAGTCAACTCTACTGTTTTTCTTCATGAATCTCAAACTGGTTAAACTTATATTGTCCTTAATGATTGTCATTATGACATTTTTTAAATTTTTCATCCTCTACACTACGTTAGCTCCTCTTTTTTTTTTCTTTAATACACGTGTAGCTTGGGCCAGGGAGCCAAGTATTTTTCTTCTTGGGAGATAGATAATCATTTCGTTAAAACAGCTACTGAATTGTATAAATTGTCAAACAAAAGTAATCATTGTTGGGTTTGTGGGTTTGCTCCGCATTCCATGAACTATGGTTATCCTTTTGTGGGGGTGCCATGGTCTATGGAATCTTTATGGGTCTTTGTGAGAAAATAAGAGCAAATAAAACGGGGTTTGTTGGATTTATTCAGAATGAAGTATCCAAATCTGGGGAACCTGCTAAGGTTCATTTAACATATCCTATTACTAGCAGAGCAGTAGTAATTTCTAACAGGGATCAGAAAAGTCCTGACAAGATTGTTAAGCCTATAAGCAATGCTATTGTTATTTTTGAAAACAATGTCCTTTACAATCTATGTGGGTCTGAAACTAATTCTGCCCCTTGTACTGGTAGATTGAAAGCTTTTTGTTGGAAACCCTTATTAGAAGATATTTTGACAAAATGTCCCATCAAGGATAGAATCCCGGTGATTACTAATCATGTATGGGTAAATTTGACTTCTGAGGTAGAAATCATGGATAATAATTATGACCAGAATGAACATTTAAATGTCACTATTTTGAGATGGGCCTACTTTAATACTAAAACTTCCAATCTTTTTATGCTACTGCCCTATATTAATCAACCTATTTTTGACTGCTCAGATTCTCGTGTTATTGATATCCATCTTCCATTTGGGGTATACTATTTATCTGGTAGTTGGGCGGTAAAAAGACTTCCATGCAATTGGGTGGAAACTTGTTATCTAGGTAATATTATCCCAGCGTTAACCCTTCATGAAAATTTGCCTGAAGGAAGGGTGAGGAATAAAAGAAAGGTTATTAGTTCCAAAAAAAGATAAAACCGAAAGAACTGTAAAATCTGGTGAAGAAGATAGGCTATTTGCAGGTTTTGTACCTACATGGGGGGTTATTGAATTAATGTACAAATTAAACTTGTTAGGAGATATACTAGATGAAGCCTTTAATAATACAGGAGATGCTATTGAAAAATTGTCTGCAGAACAGGAACAAGCTTCAGCTATGATTATGCAAAATAGGTTTGCCCTAGATTATTTGTTGGCCTCCAAAGGTGGTGTTTGTGCACTAATAAAAACAAGATGTTGTTTAAAGATATATAATGTTACTGGTCAGATTCATACAGATGTAGAATTAAATTAAACTTAGAGAAGTTCACGATACTTCTTCGGGAGGTTTAAATTGGGGTTTTGACTGGAGTTTGGTTTAACTAATTGGTTGGGAACAATGGGAAAACGTATTCTCATTGGAGTTATTTTAGTAGTATTGATGCTTGTCTTTATATATGTTGCAGTGAATGTCCTAAAGTGTTCGTGCCGATTAATCCTCAAGAGCTGTTCACCTTCATCTCCCCCTGGCACAATGTCGAATGTTGAAATGTCTCCTATCCGGTCACAACTCATACCGACTTGGAATACAGACATGCTTTCTCTGAAGATATTGATCGTGTGCGCATCTATATGGAAAGTCCTGCAAGTGCTGTTTAAAATCACTAGCTCACTGAATGACCTTCGCTAAACATGGAAGTGTTGCACGGAGCTTTTTGTGGTGAAAGTCCTAGCACCAAAGGGAGGACTGTGAACATATGTAACCTGCTACTGACATGCTGTCAGCCATTTTGCTGTTTATTCATCATCTTAAAATATAATCAAAGAAGAATATTTACTCTAAGAAATAAGAAGAAACTATGTTTTATTGCTACAATTTATTAATGGAAGTCTGGACTGTTTTTTGGATTGCAAAAGGAAAGGTTATTTTGAAAGCGTGTCTTGTCAGATGTTGCCAGGGGGGGAAAGGTGAAATGTGTGCTTAAGTTGTGAAAGAGGAAGTCTTATATGTGTTAACTTTTATCATAGACAAGCGATATTTTAGCGAAGTAAGAGCATGACTGTGGTCAAGTTATCTGTTAGAAAGATCATGGGATGCTTAAACTTTTGAACCTTAAATTTGTCAGTTATGCTAGAATTTAGCCAATAGGAAATAAGACCATATTTGGAGTTCTGATTCAAGCTAAACGAAAGGCCAGTTCCGGGTCATATGTATAAAATATGAGGAATTGTAACATGATGTTAGATTGCTTCTTGCCAATCTCCATGAGATATCTCTGTGTATTGTAATGGTCAATTAAACGCTTTTTATTGAACCTGGTAATATTTTTGTCTACTTCCACACGGCCATTGAAAAAGAGTGCCTGGCCCTAGTATGGGCGTTCAAGAAACTGACCCCGTACCTGTATGACCGTACCTTCACCCTCATCACAGACCACAATCCTCTAGTTTGGCTCAAACGGGTCTCTGGTGACAATGCCCACTTGCTACGGTGGAGTCTTGCTCTTCAACCCTACGACTTCACCAAACACAATTGGCCGGGCAAACAAAATGGGAACGCGGATGGGCTACCTCGCCAAACGGACTTACTGTCAGACTAATGGCTGGAAGTCCCGCCAGCCTTACTGGACCCGGAAAGGTCCAGCCATGTCTGCCAGAGCAGGGAGAAAAATGGGGGGGCCTTTGTGAAGACTCACCCTCCACTCATTCGGTTCTCTCCCTCCCTGCTACTGTATTTGTTGGATTTATTACCTTTATTACTAGTTCATTCATTACTTTCTTTTCGTTTAATTCCCTTGTTCGGTAAAATAGTCAGTTTACCGAACGAAGACCACCCTTGGTAGCAATTAGAACTTAGAACTCTATGTAATTGCACGAAAATCGCAAGTTAATTGACTGCTCTGAGGTGGCCATCTTAATTCCCGAATGGCGGTCAACGGGACTTGGTCGTCAAGTGCCTGGAACTGTTTTCGGCATGGCACTTGATGAACACCCGGTCCCCCTCTGGAAGTCCCATACGAACACCTTCTAAATACGGCAGAAGAACGGCGTTTGGGAGTTTGTAACAGACGAACGAGTGAAGCATTCTCCACAAACCAGATTGAAAATACCCACAGCGGTTTTCGTGAAAATTTCATCCGAACGAAGACCGGCTCTTGTCCCTGATTCTATGGAACTCTGAGTCGGCTACAATCTCGTGAAGAGCCGGTCAAACTTTCACACAGTATAACTCAAAAACTACCGAACGGATTTTCACGAATTTTTTATATGTTGCTCACATCACCCTCAGCTTTTATTTAATATGTTATGTATAAAGTATATTTTTAAGAATTGTGAAAAATTTAAACTTTTCTGTCCAGTAGATAATTGTGTTTGATAAGCTTCTCAAACTCAATTATCTAGCCTGGCCAAGAGGAGGAGTTATGTGTTGCATAAATTGAGCACCCTTGTTCCCAGTAAATCAGTCTTGTTCCAGCATTACGCTTTGGCTCATGTGTGGATGATTCGGCGATACCAGCGATTTATTACTCTGTGGATTACTTGGCTATTTTATTTCATGGGAAAAAGGGAATGATTGACGGGTTACAGGATTATACCGTCACAAGTGTGATAAGCCTCCCAGATCCCATCTAAATGGCAGAAAAACTGAGAACACCGCTCGGGAAATTTCTCCCCCAAAACACTAGACAAAATGCAGAATGCCCAAAGCCAATTCCCAAAAGACTTAAGTATTTTCCGATACCTCTATCTCTTTTCCTCCTCCTCTTTCTTGGCATCCTTCTTATCTTTCTCCTTCAGATCAAGATATTCATCCAAAGGAAGAAGCGAGAAGATCTCGAGGGATTCGTCCCGCCAAATCTTTTCCTTCGCTTCCGATTTTAGATGACATCCCAAAGGCCAGCGAATGACACATGTGCATTCTGCCTTGCTGCCTCAAGGATCTCACCTATCAACTCCGCACACTCGCTGACCACCGCTGATGTCCCCGACCCTAGTGAAGTCACCGTAGTCCCGCCCTGAACACTACCTGCCGCATCCACCAGAACCGTTGTTGCCACCCCACTCACGCCTGTTGGTGGACCCCACATCCCACTAAAATGCTCCTCCTGTGTATCCCCGACAGCCCCAAGGACCTCAAGCTATCCAAGAGATTCCTGGAGTGTAGTGCAGAAGAAGACTCACCGCCAGAACCCCCTACCGTAGAAGACCGCAGGGCCGCTGTCCTTCCATACAACTCAAGAGGTTCAGGAGTAGCGTCATAACTTCTGCATTTAGGTGCTGGGTCCTGCCTCAGAACCGTAGGAGAAGGAGTTACTGACCTGCGGGAAGAAGACAACCTGAGTAGTCTTCTCAGAGGAGCCCCAACCCGTCCATCCTTCTCACATTCCCGACCACATTCCCTGTCCTCACAACGTCTGGCTGCCTGGCCAGACTGGCCGTACGGGGTAAGCATATCCTTCTGATAACTCCTGTTAGGCGACCTGTAAGCCCTGCACTGGCTCCTCGCCCTATCCTCGGAAGATGTTGAATGCCCCCTGTTGTAATGTCTTACAGAAGGGCTCCTGTCTCTGCTGCGCCGAACCGCCGTGGACCGTCTTTCCTCGCTGCGCCTGGTCCTATACTTGGAATGCTCCTGGAAAGTAGCCTGGCCTCGGACACCTGGTGACCTGCTATCCCTTAAGATGGCCACTTCACAAAATGGCCGGTATAAATGCTCCCATCGTAGCTCTGCTCCACCCATTCTGCTAGCTGTTACTCAAGTTCCCTTGGCTGTTCTACCTACCTCCTGGCTCTGTCAAGGCCCACTACCCTAGCTGCGTGATCCATGGGCTACAAGAGATGCTGAGCTATTCATGTTACACTGGGCTAATGGCAGACTTATTTACCAAAGAGACTGGAAAATTTTAATTCATGTCCATTGCTCAGTTGCTGTTTTTTTCTTATTAATAAGGATGCAAACAGACACGAAAACCTCAAGGCTGAGAATGTAAATTAGCTTAAAGTACAGATGACAAAGGGAAGATTTATCTGATTACATTAATAATGTCACTGAGTCTTCAGAACATTGTAAATGGTGTGGAACAAATCTAAAATAACTGCAGCAGAGTTTTTGATGATCAATAAAATACAAAATAATTAAAACAATGAACTTCTTCTATAATGTTGAGTGGTGTAGATTTAATCCCATAATGCAATGCCTGCCCAAAAGAGGTTTCATAAATAAATTGGGAAAAATGTTATTAAGGTAGTAAGTGGTTAATATTGTTATTCACTAAAGCGTGAATTGTCAGAATTTCAAAATGCAATCAGATTGAATTTCAACTTTAAGAGCAAAATAACCAAATTGGAAAAAACGCTACTCTGCATCCAGTTTGTCTACTTTGGTCTACAATCTGAAATTTTTGAATTCCCAACCAGTCTAACTTAAGGGTACTAACGCTGTAAGAGCCACAGTATGCAGTTATAGCAGATGTTCTTGCACCCCCAACATGCTCTTCTAATGATGAAATGGGGAGGAGCATCAGGCATCAATCCCAGTTGACATAAATCATGATTTCTTGCATCATGTTTTATGTCAACTGTATAACCTTGTTTTATGTCAATTTTATAACTTTACATTTAAAAATTCTTACAGAGAAATGTTCACATGAAGAGGAGTTTAATTTAAAACATTTGTAAATGGTAGCAATGATAATTATTAAAGGGACACTCCAGCCCCTTAAAGCTCTACTGCTTGCTGAAAGCTTTATGTGTGGAGCAGGGCTGGTGCAAGGATTTTGCAGCCTTTGGCAAAAAACCTTTTTTGACGCCCCATTTGCTCCACCCACTCATGCAGACTGACATACACTGACCCAAGCAGACTGATACATACCCATGCAGCCTGACACAGACGCACTGACCCATGTAGACTGACACACACATACTGACCCATGCAGACTGACGCACACGCACTGACCCATGCAGACTGCCTCACACACTGACGATTGCAGACTGATGCACATACACACACTGATGATTGCAGACTGATGCGCGCACACACTGACTCATGCAGACACACATACTTTCCCATGCAGGCATATACAGACCCATACAGACACACTGACCCATACAGACACACACTGACCCATACAGACACACATATACAGACATACACTGACTTATACCGATATACACATACAGTGACTCATACAGACACACACTGACCCATACACACACACACATACAGACACACACATTCTGACACACACTAACCCAAGCAGACTGACATACACAAATTATTTGAAAAACACATTGTGATGTCCCATTGACCCACTTACCTTTATTGCATAAATGACTTTGCTTTTCGTGTCTAACTGGCAGCTTCAATGCGCGTGACTACCTTCTCTCCGTCTCAGCCCTGTTATGCTCCCGCCCACTTGACCCCACGTACCGGGCAAGGGAATGAGAAATGGAAGCCCCTTCGCGCTGCTGCGGCAATGAGTCTTTGTGGAGGGCCTGGGTGAGCAAACTGAGATGGATGCCATGACCGATCACTAGTCAGCAGCCAAGTAACATGCACATTTTGTATAATAACTCCAATACAAAGGGGCGGCCAAATGAGCAGAGCAGTAAAGCTTCTGCCAGCGCCCCACTTTAAGCAGTGCTCTAGGCGGCTGCCTAATTGGCCCATAGGAAGCGCCGGCCCTGGTGTAGAGAGTGTGCAATATGTGTTTTTTTATTCTTTGCAAAAAGTGCAGATTTTAATAGAAATTAAACTGGTTACACAAATCGTCTTTCAAGCAGACAACAGCTCCTGTTTTGCTTTGTCCTGGTTTGGTTAGCTCAGTGGAGGCAGCAATTGCCCAGATCATCTGCTTTGCAAATACTTCTCATTGAGCTGCATTGGGGAAGTCTGTGATTGGACATCCACAGAATGTCTGGGCTGAGGAAGAAGGGGAGGGCTTCCAAACACAGTAAAAAAGAGATATGTAGCTTTAGCAAACTGTTTATAGATATACCCCCAATAAAACAAATAATACATAATTAAATGCATGCATTGGGGGTATATCTGTTA